TAGGTTGCATTGATGATGCCCCAGGACAGGATGGAGCGGTGGTAGTTCAGGGGGGCTCCTCTGAAGAGGTGGATCAGTTTTCTATCACGCTCCAGCCAGATCTTCACAAAAACTTTCGAGAAGGACTGAAATTCACCACCGATTTGAGCTTGCATCCGAGTCTTCACGACATTGACTGGGAAAAACAAGAACCCCAGCATGGCACCCAGCAGGCCTCCACAGATGAAGTCGTTGATCAAGTGAGCGCTGTAAGACGCCGCCTCGGGCAGACACTGCTTGATGGGTCCCCGCAGGCCGAAGAAGAGAGCGTTGCTGGGTCCATTCCGGAGCAGAATAGGCACCAATCCCCGATAATACTCTCTCGCCCCATGGGCTTTCAGCACCTTGAAAGCCTGGTAAGTGTTTGTGAATTTATCGTGGTGTTTGTAGTCCTGCAGCAAAGTCTGAACTCGCTCAAAGGGCGTAAGAACGGCTTCCGTGGTCCCTGCGAGCACGGCTGCCACGCTGCGAGTGAGCAGCTCGGGAGCGCTCGTGTGGCTGAGCAACAGGGAGGAGAAATCTTCGTACAAGCCAAACATCAGCGCCAGCGTCGTCGTTTTCTGCATCAGCGGAGGAAGGATGCCTCGATAGAGGTTGCGAATCCCGTCCTTCTGCAGCTGCTGTACTGCGTCCTTTGTTTTCAAACCATACAGCTGCTGGCGAAAGAGGACCTTCTGGATGGGAAAAGTGACTGCTATGTTTGTGAAGGCTGCACAGTAGCCACAAAGATAATGTTTACCAGAGGTAGCCATTGCATCATCGCTTAGGTTTTCCTTTGAACTCATTTGGGCAGAACCTTCTGAATCCATCCCAGTGCTCCTCTTGCTGTAGTGCCTCAGTTCTCCTTCCCTGCATCAAAAGAAAAGAGAACGAAGATGAGCAGAGGATCGACCCAGCAGCACCCGGTATCTCACAGCCAAGGAAAGCCCACAGCATTTGAAGGAGAAGAGCGACAAACACCAGGTCTGACGGATGTTGCTCTGTTTTCCACTCAAGTCTCAGAGCTGGACAAGTGGCCGTTTTTCCCTTCTGAGCACTTGCAAGTTAAAACAGAAATGAACTGGGGAGGAAACTGAGGTACGCACCCCTCGAGTGCTACGTGACAGCTGACAAGAGGAAGCTCCCATGTCAAGATTTCCCATTCGATGTGCCAAGGAATTACAACAGCGAGAGGTCCACTCCCACGCTAATGAGCACACACCACCAGGAGGGTGGTGGTGCGGAGAGGAGACAGTCTAACAAAAAATAAATGGAATCCATGTGGTAGTACTAGAAATGCTTTCATTGCACTCCGCCTCTCCCTGTGGGAGAAAACAACAGAAAATCTGAACAACAATTGAGACTGGTGGTTTAACCTGGCCAGCAACTTAGCACCACACAGCCACTCGCTCGCTGTCTCTGGTGGGAAAACCTGAAGGGTAAAAATCAGAAAGAAACTCGTGGGTTGAGATTAAAACGGTTTAATGATTATAAATTCTGAAAGGTATTTGGTAAGGTGGGAGGGGGAAACCAACATAAAAGAGAGGAAACCCCAAGAAAAGCGAACTGTGCAAATGAAAACACTCCCCACCAGCCGACCGATGCCCAGCCAGCCCCAGCAGCGCCACCCCCAGCTGCCCCCTCACTTTTACTGTGGGACACCTCTGGGCTCAGCTGTCCCAGCTCCCTGTGCCCCAGCCCCTTGCTGCTGGGGCAGGGAGAGAGCAGAGCAGAGCAGCCCGTGACACCGTGCAAGCACTGCCCGGCAACCACCAGCACGTGCCCTTGTCGTCAACACTGCTTTCACCACAGACCCAAAACACAACCCCACACCAGCTGCTGTGAACAGAATTACCTCTATCCTGGCCAAAACCAGCACACCACTGTAACCACAGGCTTAAATTATACTGCGAGAACGCTTCAACACAGGTTTGAAAACTTCTGGAAGTTCCAGTTCATTACCCTGCAGAGCCTGAGCACCGTGAGCCCACACTTGTCATGTTCCGTCCAAAGGTTTAAGACCTCGAGCCTGGCTAGACCCGAGGTCCTGAAGGACACACAAACAGAGGCAGTTCCACCACACGAAGCAGCGAGGCATTGAATCACTACCAGGCAGCACGTGTTCGTCATTTAAAATGAGGTTACTCGTTCAACAGTGACAAAAAGCTGTTTCTGCAGCTGATCCAGATGCTAACTTCCATTACAGCACAGCCTGAGCCAACTCAGCAACAACCGAGTGAGGCTGGTGCTGGTTTCTCAGCTCCAGGTGCTCCCCATCAGCAACGCGGCCGAGATTTCCACGGCTACAGCGTGGTACTGGGGGCCAACAGCCCTGCTCGGCACGAGGGGCAGCTTCTCAAGGCGCAGCTGCTGCTGTGTGAGGGATGCGTGGCAAGAAACAACCTGGACTGCCCAAAGAAACCTGACGGATTACGTGGACCAAGGACACGGTTTGTTTTTAAAACAAAGCACGTGCATGCCTAGATTGGCTTTTCCCCTGCAGTTACATGCCACCCAACCCTTTAAGAAGTGAAAGTGCCATCTAAATAACTTACAAAGATGAATTGTTTCTGTCAATATGAGAAGTAGCATGAGAGACAGAGATCCACATTAGAAGGCTCACGTGCTGCTTTACGCGGCAGTTCAAAACATTATTCCGGTTACTGTAGTTCTGCTTGCGCGTACTAAAAAAGCCACAGCTGCAGACACGCTGGTCCTAGAGCAGGGACAGCGGGTTGTGCTAGTTCAGGGTGGAAGAGCCTCAGAGACACCACCACTAAGATGATTCGCAAGGCTGGTGACCAATTGTCATTTATATGGCTGCTGCCTGCGGCCAGAGCATATTTCTCCCTCAAAAGAAACTCATAAATAAAATTTGTTAGTTTTTTTTTTTAAAGAGGCGGAGGGAAGAGAGAGCCCTCAGTTTAGTTTCACAATCTACAAGCTCCACATGCTCCTTTTGGTGTAACTGCCTGGCCTGTCCAGTAGTGAAGCGCTGCAGACCGCAGCGATCCTCACACAAGGAAGCCGTCACACTGCCAAGCTGGGAATTTGCAAGAGCCCAGCACGGCAAGTCCTCCAGAGTGTTCATGGAAACCTTGCCCTCAGACATAATTTGTAAGGTCTGTGCTGCCTGCAAGTACTAAAGCACAGCAGCCACTTTGTTAGAATTGAACATTAAAAAAAACATTTCTCAAAAACAGTAAAAGCTTCAGATCACCAGCGTTACCTGTACACACAAACCCTCGGTGCCGCAGCATCCCTTTATGGACAGAAGAGGAGCATAAGGGAGTGGAGCATCTCCCTTATGAGGAGCGGCTGAGGGAGCTGGGGCTCTTTAGTTTGCAGAAGAGGAGACTGAGGGGAGACCTCATTGATGTTTATAAATATTTAAAGGGTGAGTGTCACGAGGATGGAGCCAGGCTCTTCTCGGTGACAAACAATGATAGGACAAGGGGTAATGGGCACAAGCTGGAACACAGGAGGTTCCAC